ACGGGTAAGAACCATATGTTGAATTGGACAACCTACCAGGCACGGTCATTAAGCCACATTGCTTGTTGTTTAATTAATCAGAAGGGGGGAGATGCTGGGAGCCATTAGCCAAGTAGGTATGACAATTTCCTTGCCAGCGTACCCCATGTTGCTGACATGTTGCAGCGACATTGAATGTAGGTGACCTTGCTCAAGGACCAAGGCAGATTAGGGTGTTCCCGGTTTTAAGATAATCGTGTTTAGGGCGTTCCCAGTTTAGGTTCCAGGTTTAAGGTTTAAGATTATTTCCTCCTGGGAATAGGGCGTATCCTGCTGCCTGAGTTCCCCTTGAGTTCTCACGGGATTCAGACAGTATTTTTTGGAGATAGAAGCCCAGTGGAGTTGGAGTTGGGCAGAGAACGTGGATTTGGGCAGAGAACGTGGATTTCCCCAGAACGTGATTGTAGACGGCTGGTGTGAGTTCGGGAGTAAAGAGTTGCTGTTTGAATCTACAAGCTGTGTGGTGGCTCGTGATTGTGTGCCCAGCCAGACTGCGGCATTTGTGCCCAGCCAGACTGCGGCATTGGCCAAAAAAAAAAAAAAAAAAAAAAAAAGAAAGCAAAGGAAGGAACAAAGAAACAAAGAAGGAAAGAGAAAAAGAAAATGACTGAATTTCAAACTTTTCACTTTCCACTTCCTTTACCATCACCATCATCAATGAACCCCCACCTTGTGGACAGCTGGCATAGCCTTCTTTTATCACTTATTGTTTCTTGCCTCCCTAAAATTATTCTTTCTACAGCAGCCGCAGTCAATTAGGTTTGGCATGTTACTACCAGATGCTTAAATCTATCTGGTGCCCAAATGTTTTCTTTCAATGAAATCAATAGATGATTCACACTGACAGGCCTACTAGGATACAAGGTAATGTAAAATGAAGAATTCTTTTAGAATCTAGAAAGATTCTTTTACAATTGAAGTGAAAGTCAATAATTCTGTCTTAATATTCTTAGCAAGAGGAGAAAATATGGAATCTAGATGTCAGAAGAATCAGAGACAAAATCATTATTAATTACAGCATCAAATTATCACAATAATCCTAAAGAATATGCATTATTGAATAATTAAGTAACAAGATATGAACTTGGGTCCCAGATACATTATGAAAAATATGTATATCATTAGGTGTCTTTATAGTGCAGTATATACGAAAGTGGTTCAAAAAGTCATACTCACTTCACAAGCAGCATGACAAATGAGGCGGATCCCAATGCATTGCAAACAGAACTTACGACTTGTGCAGTTAAATAGAAGTAATATTTTTTTTTACAATTATCATCTCTTGGGCATTCACCCAAACGGGCTGAATAATTTGTGTTCTGGAAATTAGACCCTTCTATACAAGTACAGTTATGAAAGACCTAAAAAAACAGTTTTGAAACATTACAGAAAACATTTTTAAAATATGACAATGCTATAGATGCCTTTCATTATATTTAAAGAGATCTTATCCATTCAAACTAAAATATTTACCATTTTAAAAAAATTCTAAAAATACAGTTGCAGAATACAGTCAAAATAGTTTCCTGGAATTTTTTCTAGATAAGAAAATGCAATTCACAGTTAAAACAATTCATTTCTAATTTTAAAGTTAGGAAATAATTGAAGAAATAAATGCTTGAAACTCTGTATATAAGTTCCTGTATATACTTTTCTCTGTATACAATTTCATCATTTATACACATTTTTCCAAATACTTCTCTTTTGCCCAATTTTACTTTCTATGACTACTCATTCTCTTTGACAATATCTACAAAGTGTCCCTGATAAAAGGATTATGCTAGAGAATATAGAAATGTAATAGTTTTTGGAGGGGCCCAAAATTGAAACTAGAGTTACCCATAAGAATGAGAAAAGCCCAAGGGAAATGAAGCCAGGCAGGGGTGCTGAAATTCTGTTTTGATAAGCAAAATTGACATCCAAAAGTATAGTGACAGATAATGAAATAGAAGATATTATGGCCAGAAAGATTCAACACAATGGAATGTCCTAACAGTTGGAGCACAGAAAGGGAATGCTTAGAAATATATGATTTTAGAAATTTGATCATGCAAGTCATTTTCATAGACAGGTTGCTTTAAAAAATTCTTTCTGATTCTAGGCTAAACTAAAGTTTAAAAGAAGTTAACCTTGAATCTACTGCTAAGTTCAATTACTAAAGGAAGAACTGAGGAATAATTTGAATCCATACTTGCATGATTCAATAAGCTTTACTTTCCTGGGTTTTTACTTTGTTACTTGTTTTTCAACTAGGAATAAAATTGGAGGACTCCTCTACTGAGCAACTATATTAGCCAATGAAACAAAACTTTGATATAAATATCCTTACTTCAGAAGAGATGGGGCAAATAAAAAACTCTTCTAAAATAAAAAGTTAATTAAAAGTAAAGAGAGAGGTGTTATTATTACTAAGAAATTAGGAGAAGACCTTGGTAGTAATTTTTAAAAGGGAAGATAATGTGACCATGGTAGGTAGACAGAACTCTCTTGAGTTTTCTAATATGCCTTCTCCAGGCTTTACCAAACGCACAAAATAAGACCATGGGTTCAATGGGTGCCCTCTCAGTGAAAGGCACTGTAGCCACAAATGTGAAATATAGGATTTTAAGGATGGTCTTTGAGCCATATTTGTCCAAGTTTCTTAAGTTGTGGCCCAGCTTCAGTGAATCTAGGGTGCTTAATTCTTCAAAGTTTTTCATGCCTTTCCATCATGTAATTAGAATTGTAAGTAAGAGAATGGTGAAAAAAATTGAAAATCAGCCACAGATATGGCAGAAAGCAATGATCATAGTTGGTTATATTGCTTATGTTGGTGATAAGAAAAGGGCCCAGGAGATGATTCTTCATATTGGTAAGATGTTGAGTAGATTGGAGGTATGAGAAATTTCACAAATGATCTCCAACTATTGAGGAATCGCCCAGGGAGCTGGGCAGAACCCATAGCTCACATGGAAGGGAATGTTTTGAGCCTTTGGTTTTGGGGGAACTCCTAATTAGAAGATAAGAAATGGGCAATCAATGAGCATGAAACCATGATTATTTCTTGGAAAGTCATAAGGATAGTGAGTCCAGAGTTAAACTCATCAGAATCTATATACAAAATTGTATAGAGATTATTGTTCTAGTAATGCAGGTAATGCTGAAAAATGAGCTGCTCAGGACTTTCCCCTAACTTCTGAAAAGTAAAGTAATTCTAACTTAACAGAAATCATTGCTTCAGTAAAATGAGATGCTTCCTAGGGACCCTAAATGCATTCATATTCCAGAAAGGTCATATTCTTACAATCTCAAGGCAAAAACAGTAAGGTAATCTCCAGTTAGAGTTCACATAACAGATAACGCTGATTGTGTTCCAAGCAGGATTGTATATGAAGTTTTGTTCACACAGGCATCAGAAAGACAGATAATACTGGAATCTTTTTCTTATATCTTTTATTAAGTCTAATCTGTGATTTTGTTTAAGATTAGGAGAGAAAGTTAAAAATTAATACTCACTATAGACTTTTTCTGGCCACTTGAAGATGTGCATCCTGCTAGACAAGGTGAAATGTAAGTTATTCCATTGTCCCCACAGATGGGTTCCCATTGATCTTCATCACAATTGCAGTCTGAGTTGCAATAAGAATGTGGTACATCTACATGAGATGCCACTGGATTAATTCTGGAAATACATGATAGACACATATCAGAAAGAGAGAGAAAAGAAGAGGAGGAAGGAGGAGGAAGTAAAGAAGATGAGGAGGAGGGGAAGGGAAGTGGCAGAGAAGACAAAGGAGGAAAAAGAATAAGAAAAAAGAAATTAGAGAGTGAGGCTTTCTTTTCCTTTTTTTTTTTAAGTTGGAGAGAGTTAAAGGGACTATGCCAAAGCAGCAAAGTTGTTGCTGTTGTTGTTTTAATGCTCATTCACTTTTTCACCCTCCATCTCTATCAAGACATGATTTATGACCTAGAAAAAGTAAAACTTAAAAAAGAAACCAGAAAGAATATGTGGCAAAAAAATACTTAGGCAAAAAATCTTGGTATTCCAATCAGGAAATTTCACATTAGATGAATCATTTCTTTTTCCTGAAACTTGATTTTTCTTCAGTAAGATAATGGCATTAAACTGAGATTCCTCCCGGCTCACTGTAAAAAGTCACATGACTCCATATAATGTTATTTAAGTAGGTTGAACTTTTTAAAGAAAATCTATGTTTTAACTTTATAAGGGAAGAATTCTTTGTGGTCAAAGCAAAACCAGTAAGGATCAATTTTGAAAAGTAAGAAAAATAATAAAATCAGTTGTGAAAGACTAGAAAAGCTCCATATATTTTTAAAATGAAGTTATAACGTGCTTTATAATTTAATATATAATAAGGTATAAATTATAAAATGTAATTGTATAACATGACTAAAGTTTTAAAATACATATTTATATAGTTGATTTTCTACTTACAGATTTTAGAAATTACTCTTTTGTTTTTATAAAAATCTTGATAATAATTGAGGATATTCATTTTAAAGGAGGCAATCAACAAACTTATGGCGAACACTGCCATCTTTCAAATACTAACTTTACTGTGCAGTCCTGTCCTGCTCGGTGATGTTTTAGTCAACAATGGACTACACAGACGAAGGTGGTACATGATTTTACCACCTAGCGATGCTACGAGTGTCTTGGACTGTGTTTACACAATGATAAAATAGACCAATGACACATTTCTAAAAACTTATATTTGACTATACTTAGACAACCCATGACTACACTTGCTCCATTAAACTGGCTTTAGGCTAAAGCCTGTCCTCACAACCAGGGATCCCTGGGACCTACAGGTGTAATGTACAGTCAGTCTGAGGTTGTTGTGTGACTCCAAGCAAGGAACAGTTTCTCTAGGTCACAATAAAGGAAGAGATAAAAGCAGGTTTGATTGCATGATCCATAAATTTCCTTTACTTTTGAAATTCAAAGCTCTAGGTGCACTGTATTTTGATTTGCCATAATAGTAGGTATTGGTGGATGGGAACGATTGGCAGTCAAGATTAGGAGCAGGTAGAAATATAATTCAAGATAATTTTGCCAAGCCTCCTAGAATGGTATGATGTTTAGGTAAGGAAACATGGAAAAATTTGATGAATTAAAATTGGCACTTCAGAGATCTGGACTTTGAAAACTCAGAACCAACAGTAAGTAGCACTAATGTGCATGGTTACTCAACTATGATCCAAGGATCTTTGTTGCTTGGATGTGAACCTTTCTAATTTTAAATTGTTAGCCTCATTCATGAGATGGTAAGTCTGCATAGGAATTTTTCTCCTGATTTGGAGTGGGCTGAAGTACTAAGAATACTTGACATAGTATGATAATAATAGCAAAGGTTCTCCAACATTTAATATGCAATTATATGCAGGATATCTAGTAATTCTACTTAGAATGAAAACACCACCAGAAGACAGTTTCAGCTTACAGAAAGCAAGAATTCAGTACAATGTAAAGAAGTGTTCTCTTTTTCAGTTTGTTGAACATCAAAATGTAATGTAGATAAAGGTTGTTAAGTCACTTTTGGAGAATGTCATTTGTATTATACTCACAATCCATCCAAGTTGGTAGTGGTTAAGACTAACTATTTTGGAGCCAAAACTCCTCAAATTTGACCCAGTGAGAGTAAGTGAGATCAAGTTAAGACATTGCTAGTCATATAATCTGTATGTCTCCAAGCCTTACTTTCCACATCTATAAAAATGGAAATAAAAGTATCCATCCTGCATAGTAAGTATCCCGTAAATTATAATAATAATTATAATTACAACCTATATAGTTTTTCTTTAAGAAATATCTTAAGAAATATACATTTTAAGAATTTCTAAGTTGAAATTTCTCTCAACTAAAAAAAAAGTTTAAAACTTCTTTCTTCTCTATTTTTCTCAGTCTTTTCATTGGATAGTTAACACATTATGCAGTTGATATAGTGATATATACAAACCCATCATAGGTCAAGGTTAGGCCGGCAATTGATTTGTTTTCACAAAGTAGACCAAATTTTAACAGAAAAAACAAGAAAGACATGAAATAAGTAAAAAATGAAAATTTGGCAATTCCAATCAAGGTCAATTTGAGTTTTTTAATGATATATCCTCCTAAAAACATTCCTGTTGCCATAGCTGGTAAGGTTATGAGTCCTAGAAATAAAAGAAAAATTATAATTACATAAATACGTTTTTAATATGTCTTTATATATGAAACACATTGTATATCAACCAAATTCATCCATCCCATTACTTCTTAAGGGGAAGGGCAACAGGCAAAATGGAAAGAGAGGGCAAGTTTATCATTTGGGAGAGACAAAAATAATTGTTTCCTGCCAAAGATGAGGATTTGGTCTCCTCAGTATTAAAAAGCAATGATTGATAATATTTGTGTGTCTGAACTGAGAATTTCTGAGGGACTTCCCCCACCCCCAGAAAACAATAACAATATACCATTTTTCTGCTTGTGAAACTTTGATCCTATCATCTAAAATCCTTTACATCTTACAGAATGAAGAATTCTAGCCCTCAAAACCCACTCCAATATTTCCCAGTGATTTAGAATTAAATACTGAAATTAATATCTTATCTATTCATAAAACCCATGAATAAATAGGTATGTCTATTATATATAGTATTAAAAATGGTTGATCCCTCTTCTAACTTTTCCATTCCATTGTCCTGTACAAGTTATTTAAGATGAAGAAGACTCCTTCAACAAAAAGTTTAGTTTAGGTTACTGGGAGTCAAAACTTAACAGCATTTACAATGCTTTGGGGAATTCATTTTCAAATCATCATTTTCTTTGTTACTTATGATCCAGTTTCATACCACTTGATAAATTTTAAATTCATCAAACAACTACTTAATATCTACAATGTTTTCACAATACTGGAGTTGTGGAAAGAATAATATTAGAAAACATTTCCTCAGCAAGTAGGTCTTATAGGTCACTGAAAATAGATAAACAGAAAATACTCTTTAAAATATGATATTTATTTTGAATTGTGCATATTTTGGTGGTGCATTTAAATTGTTTCTCCTTTTGGAACCATCAATGTCCTGGTTTTTATAAGTAATTAAATCCTGATTTCAGAGTCCATAAATTACAGACTATATGATTGTGCTACAAAATGGTTTGTCTCAATATCTCATCACAAAATTACAAGATCTAATTATTCAGGTACCATGTCTAAATGTTCCATTTATATACACCTTTTCCTTTAGGAGCTATATAACATGAGATGCAACTTTTAGTGCAATAAAGATATCAGATTAACAAATTTAATAAAGTTTGAGAGAGAATAAATAGAAATTATTTACTAAAATATAAAGTTACATTCACAATAAAATGTCACTTGAAATACACTGATTAGTAGTACACAATCCATCAAGCAAATAGGTAAAAAATATGTCTTACCCAACAAAATATTAGCCTGAGATGCTGACTGACCATATTGTTGCTCTGTGTATTTGAATACATAAGTAAAAAAACCAATAAAGCCACTTATCTGTAGCAATGTCAAAATCAAGAATATAACATAGAGGTGATTGGTAAGGAGGATTTTCAAAGACTGGAAAAAACCTTAAAATTATGAAAATAAAGAAAATATTACAATACAACTTAAATATATACTAATCTTTTATACTATATAAGATTGAACATTACTTAAACACATAATAAATGAGTAACAGTAGACTGGTATCCTACTGTCATAAGTTATTTGTTTGTTTTTGGGTGGTCCTGAGATCAAAACCAGAGCCTCATAATGCTACACAAGAACTCTGCTAGTGAGATTCATCTGCAGCCCTCAACAATTTTTAAAAACATAATCCTTCAATATTTCCAGAACATACATTAATATTTATTTGTTTAGTTCATTTTACCCCAAACCCAAAATTAAATCATACATGCATGCTTTTTTGCAACTTGCTTTGTTAACTTAATATTTGGTTATTCTGGGCACTTTACCAATATATTACATATTTATTTATTTGTTCATTTAACAAATATTTGGTTTTCAATTCAGTTAGGTACTAACCAATACATTAAGTGTTCAAGTAAGAATATACATGCAATGTCTCTTATTTATCAGCATTTAATGATATAATCATTATATTAACAATATCATTAATTATTCAACAGAAATTTAAATGATAGCATAATCCAAAACTTCACAAAAGTAAGGTTCAAAAATATTAATTATCAATTTAGTATGAGAATTCAGACATCTTGTTACCTGGTATACAGCTTTTCTATCATAAAATACTGACTCAGTAAATCTGGAAATATCTTAAATAGAACCTTAGTTCTACTTAAGAACATGAATCATGTGTCTAAAGATCCAAGGAGAACCAGGATATAATGATGTTGTGTCTCACGTGACATTATGACAGGAATCACACAACTTCTGCATACAATGAGGTGTGTAACAAAATTATAACTTATCCATGGCAGAATTTATGGGATATACATCTGTGATTACCAGGTCAACCAGCAGTTAACAGTAGATAAAGGGAGAAAGAACTACATAGGAAAGCAATAGGAAGTTTTAGAGTCAAGTAAGACCAAACCAGACATTGTTATTGAGAAATAGATGACATGGTCTTTAAAAGACCTTGCCCTTTATGTGTTAAAGATTTCCAATGGATATGATCATTGATATGAACTAAGATTTCCATCTAATGTCAACTAAAAAATAATTTTATATACTTATTATAAGAAGAATATGGCAAAGGGCACAAAGAAAAAAGAAGAGGGCATTTTTTTTTTTTTAACCAGGAATAAACAGCATTTAAAATGATTAGGCCAAAATACTAAACTTCTCTCTTTAGCATTCCCCAGATCAGAAAGACTATCACTGATTTGTGAGCCATTCTAAATGAGCTGTGACCTTTGATTAAAAGAAACAGAGGCTATAAATTCATCAAATCAATTGTATTTTGGAGGTGACTGAGAACATAGTTGACATCTTGACTGAACTTCCACACAATCATGATCCAATAAGTATCTTTAATAAATGGATCAATAAGTAATTCAAGTGGCATTAAGCTGATTGCCTCAGAAAGCAATTGTTTTCTTTGGGACTGTTCTCAATTTTTACACACTGTTTTCTTTGAACTGAAATCTTGCTTTCTTTCCTTCAAATCAATCAACCTTAGTTCTACTTAAGAACATGTAGAATAAATACAACAGTTTTCCTTCTGACCTTGTAATTTTAGTTTTTTCTTCTATTCCTGCTAGATACAAAATTAAGGTCCTCTTTAACTATTTGGGTCACTATCCTGCAAACACAGTCGTAATTATTGCTGATGACTGTAATTGTCCTATTTTTAAAATTTTTTATTTATTTATATTTAGTTGTAGTTGGACACAATACCTTTATTTTATTTTTATGTAGTACTGAGGATTGAACCCAGGGCCTCGCATGTGCTGGGCGAGCACTCTACCACTGAGCCACAAACCAAGCCCCATAATTGTCCTATTTTGGCAGCTTTATTATCCTCTCTGTTCTTTTTTGAGCGAAAGCAGTCAAACCTAGTTTCTATAAGTTTAGACAATCTGTGGATGTTTATGGATTTGATCTGGTAGAGTAGAAGCAGCCTGTGCAAATGAAAATTTTCTGGATATGCTGTCAATGTGCCTGTTAAGTTTCAAAAACTTCTAGCTCAGAGGTGTGCTGGGATAATAATGAATAATGAACTTTGGGAAGTAAGGCCTGATTTGTAGTATTTCTCAATTTCCAATGGATAAATTCTCCTGCTTTGGCCAATTCAAGCTACCAATGTAGTTGAAAATTTAACAATGGTTCATGAGCCAACACAACCTGACTCCAGCATACCATTGTTGTTAGGTCAGAGTGATGGAAAGAAAGAAATAACAAATGGATAAGTGGAAGAATTGATGACAGAAAGAATTGGGGCTATCCTTGAGAATTTGTAATTCCATTTCAATGTCAATTTGAAAAGGTGTCCAAGGATTTAGGCATTGCGTTGTTTTGGATTTTAGTATTTCACCATTTCCTTCCAATCTGAAAACTGCTGTCAACACTTCATTATTTCGACTATTTTTCTTTGACTGTTGGACCATTCTCTTGGTTATTACTTCTCTGTGGTTGTCTACAAGCCCCCAAGGGAAGACTTGTTATCAAATAGTAGAAGATCCTAATTCATATTACTGACTCCAATGATTTCAACTATTACTGTTTCTACTTCATTTTTTTAACATCTTAATGAGCATTTTTAATACAATTACCAAGAAAAAAAATTAGTCTAATCACCATTCAGAAATCTTTCCTAAGTTCCTTCTCCTTACTCCATGTCTCCACCTGAGAATAGTTAAGTTTAACCAAACCAAAGTACTTAAGGCTGTTAATGCAATTGTCTGAATAATTCTCATTATTAAGTAAATTATTGAAAATAATTATAAATTTTTGGAAAATGGAGGCAATATCCAATCACTAGGACATAGTCTAGTGCTTAGAATCATTTGCTAAATAAATGAATGAGTGCATTAATGAAATAGTATAAAAATTTTATCTATTACTCATAGGCTACACTACATAATTTGAAATAAATATATTGTCTTTGGTTTACAAAGAACATATATTTTAGCCTTTGGCTGTAATCTCCATGCTAATGGCCACAAATCTGATCCTATTCAGTTTTTCATATGCTCAGGAAGTATTTACTAATTTTAATAGGAGTTTAGAAAAATAACTTAGCTAGATTAGATGTACAAGAAAAATAACTCCATATGATTTAGATATGAATTATTACTTTGGAATATTCACTCTTCCCTTTCATTGAAATTAATAATTCCAAATTGACAAGGGGTGTGAAATACTTACCATTTGTATTTATAGTAGTCTTTTTCTCACCGTTGGTCAAATTAGCTGTTTGAGTCCTTTCTTCATTTGTTTTGAGTACATGCAAAGATGCTGAAACTTTCCTTTCTTTCTTTGATTTATATGGATTTTTGTGTAGAAAAAAGAATGGTATGGAAGAAATAATGGATAGGAGTCCAGATATAAGGAAACTAAGCCACCAAGCACCAACCCAGCGAGAGTCCGTGGGAGTTATTCTGATGCTGCCTAAAATAAATAAAAGAACCCAGTAAAAAATAATTTTGAAAGATAATAATATCTAAGCAATAATAACAATGATTGCTGTCCTCCATAGACAAAGAAAGTAAACTGTATTTCATCAATTCAAAGATGCTGTTTTCTTCTCTTCATATTTTTTAATCTCAGAAACTGGGATAAGTCTAACATTTAATGACATCTTAAAATTGCTGTTATCCATGAATCAGTTATGGGACTATTTTCATAGCCTGAGCTTGTGTAAACATGGTGGCTTTTTTGATGATATGACTGCAAAACTGCCAACATTGCATATCTAAGTGTGAAAATGACTTTAAAAACATGGAAGGAATATGAATGTTCATTGCCATCTGAAAATATCTAGGGATACCACCTGCTGAGGTCAAGAAAGCACCAATAATGAAAGTTAAAGCAGTTTTCAATAAATTCTCATATCCAATAGAAGAGCTTTTCTCCCCTGCCCAGAAACTTGTATTTATAACTTTTTTTTTCACAGCACAGAGGATAAAATTGGTGAAAAAATACAGACAATGAAAATCTGAATTTAAAAGTAACCCAGAAAAGTTGTACTCTACATGTTAGAAATAATTCAACCTTTTTATTTCAATTATGTGTTTCTTTAAGGCATGCATAAAGATTATATGTTAAAACTATATATCAAGTATAAATGAAGAACTTCAGTAAATATAAGATGAGCAGTCTAAGTATTAAGAAAGGATACATAAGATTATCAGCAAAATGACAAAATAGGAAGCCATAAATTCCCATACACTAACACACTGATTCAATAGCATTATACAGATCAATTCCATTTTTGAGAAAACCAGAAACTTGTTGAGAAGCACCTATACCCCAAGTAAATAATAAATTAGCCACAATGAAACCAGTAGGAAAATTGGAAACCCCATTTCTTTATAATTCACAACTCAGTATAATCCCATAAGATCAGGAAGAATTAGCAGTTTGAACTAGTTTGTGGATACTTGCTGCAACTCTTCTGCTTGTCACAGAGTGAATGGGAACAGAAAGGGTTGGACTATACATCCATATTTCTATTTTTCCTGATCAAGGGATTGAAGGGATTGAGTGCAAAACCAAGCAGCAGCAGCTATTCTCATATTCAACAAAGCAGATTCCAAGCAAAAAATAATTAGAAAGGTCAAATAGGGTCACTTTACACTGGTAAAGGGGAAAAATACAACAAGAAGATAAAAGGATAGTAAATATTTATGCCTTAAACATTGGTGCATCTAATAAAATAAACACAAACAAACAAAAACACTTGTTGACATAGGACTCTGACCACAATAATACTAATAATTTCAAAACACTTTTCCTCCAATAGATAGGCCATCCAGACACAAAATTAGTAAAAATACTCAAGATCTAAACAATACCATAAATCAAATGGCTCTGACATGTATAGACTGTTTCATCCAACAATAGCTAAATTCACTTTCTTCTCAGTTGTTCATGAAACATCTCCAAAATATACAATATTTTAGGCCACAAAGCAAGTTTGAACAAATACAAAAGAAAAATGATAGCGTTCCTTGCATTTTGCCAGATCAAAATGGAATGAAGTTGGAAATAAACAGCAAGAAAAATTATGAAAATCACATAAATACATGGAGACTGAAAAATATAGTTTTGAATGAGGAATGGATCATAGAAGACATGAAAGAGAAATTTAGAAATTCCTGGAGTCAAACAAGAATAGTGACACAAGGTACCCAAATCTGGGACACTGTGAAAGCAGTTCTAAGAGGCAAGCTTACAGCATTAAGTGCCTACATAAGAAACAAACAATACCTCTCAAATAAAAGTCTAATATCATGTCTCAATGACCTAGAAAAGCAGAAACAAATTATTTCCAAACAGTAAGAAGAAAGGAAACAATAAATATCAGAACAAAAATTAATGAAATGAAGAATAAAAAAGGCAAATGATTGATGTAGCAAATATTGGTTTTTTGAAAAGATAAACAAGATTAATAAACCTTTAACCAAAATAACCAAAAGAAAATGAGAGAAGACTCAAGTCAACACAATTAGAGATGAAAATAGAGACGCTGCCATAGACATTCCTGAAATCCAGAGGGTCACTGGGATTGAAAAATTACATTCCAATAAATTGGAAAATCTATAAGATATTGATAAAGTTCTAGATATATCTGACCTATCCCAATTGAACCAATAGAACATAGAAACCTAAACAGACCAATATCAAGCAATGAGACTGAAGCAGTGATAAATAGCCTTCCAAAAAAGAAAAACCTGGAACTACATGGATTCTCAGCTGAATTCTACCAGACCTTTAAGGAAGAACTAATAGCAATTCTCCTCAAATTATTCCATGAAATAAAAAGAGAGGGAAATTCATTCTATGAAGCTGAGTATCACCCTGATACCAAAACCAGATAATGATACCTCAAAGAAAGAAAGATATAGACCAATATCAATTATGAACATACAGAGAAAGGCATGTAATAAAATATTAGCAATCTGCATTCAAAAACACAATAAGATTGTACATCATGACCAAGTTGGTTTCAACTCTGGGATTTAAAGTTGGTTCAATATATACATGTCAATAAATGTAATTCATTACAGAAATATTATTAAGGACAAAAGCCACATAATAATTTTGAGATGAAGAAGAAACCTTCAACAAAATCCAGCACCCATTTATGTGAAAAACACTTGAAGAAACTAGGGGTAGAAAGAACTGACCTCAACACCATTAAGGCTATCTATGTCAAACACAAAGCCAACATCATTGCAGAATGGGGAAAAACTGAAAGCATGTTCTCTAAAATCAGAAACAAGACAGGGAAGTCCACTATCACCACTCCTATTCAATATAGTATTTGGAACTCTAAGTAGAGCAATTAGGTAAGAGAAGGAAAATAAAGGTATATAAATAGGAAAGGAAGAAGTCAAACTATGTGAGTTGATGATATGATCCTATAAAGAACTCTACCAGAAGGATTCTAGAGCTTATAAAGAAATTCAGCAAAGTTATAGTATGCAAGATTAACATTCAAAAAACAAGCACCTTCCTATACACTAATAACGAACCTGCTAAGAAAGAAATTGGGAAAAGAATTCCATTCACTGTAGCCTAAAACAAAACAAAACAAAAATGGGAATAATCAGACCAAGAAGGTAAAAAATCTCTACAATGCAATTTACAGAATACCACAAAAGAAAATTGAGGAAGACTTCAGAAGACTGAAACATCTCCCATGTTTTTGAATAGGCAGAACTAATATTGTCAAAATGGCCATATTATCAAAAGCAATCTACTGATTCAATGCAATCCCTACCAAAATACCAGTGATATTCTTCATAGAAGTAGAAAAAAATTCATATGGAAGAATAATTATCCAAAACAATTCTAAGCAATAATAGTAACGCTGGAAACATCACAATACCTGATCTGAAGTTATACTACATGGCTATGGTAATAAAAATAAGATATTATTGGCAATATAAACAAACATAAAGCCAATGGAATGGAATGGAAGACACAGGGACAAATCTATATAGATAAATTTGTCTGATCTTTGACAAAGGTGCCAAAAGCATACATAGAAGAAAAGATAGCATTTTAAACAAAGGGTTCTGAAAATACTAGATATCCATATTTAGAAGAATTAAACTATATCTCTATCTCTCACCCTGCATAGCAATTAATTCAATGAGAATTAGACAAGAAACATGTCAAGGGCTAGAAGAAAACTTAGGGTCAATTCTCCAACAATGCACAGGCATCAATATCATTAATAGACTCCTAAAGTTCAAGAAATAAACCCAAGAACTAATAATATGTGGATGGCAACAAAATAAAAAGCTTCTGCACAACAAAGGAAACAAGAGCATGAGGAGAGACCCTGCAGAATGGGAAGAAATCTTTGCCAGCCAGTCTTTTGGTAGGGGATTAACATCCAGAATATATAAATAACTCAAAATCTTAATGCCAAAAACCCCCCAAATAACCCAATCAATAAATTGGCAAATTATATGAATAGATACTGTTTAAAAGAATAAATATAAAAAGCCAACAAATATATAAAAATTGTTCAATATTCTTAGCAATCAGGGAAATAAAAATCAAAAGTACACTGAGATTTTATTTCACTCTAGTTAGAATACAAATGACAATAAATTCTAGGGAGGACATGAGGAAAATTGTACACTTATACACTGTTTTGGGGACTGCAAATAAGTAACACCTCCCTGGAAATCAGTATAGAGATTCTTCAAAAGATTAGGAACGGAACCGCCATATGACCATAATACCAAGATTGGTTTTTATCCAAAAGAACTGAAATCAGCATACTATAGCAGTAGATGCAATCAAATGTTTACAGTAGTGCAATTCACAATGCCAAATTATGGATTCAGTCTAAGTGTCTGTCAACAGATGAGTGGATAAAGAAAATGTGGTATATGTACACAATGAAGTTCTACTCAACCATAAAGAAGAATGAAATTATGCCGTTTGCTGGTAAATGAATGGAACAGGAGAATACCATACATAGAGAAATAAGCCAGATGGTGAAATTCAAGTGTCAAATGTTCTCTCTCATATGTGGAAGCTGGAGAGGGGTAAAAAAGGAATAAAAAAGGACTCACAAAAATAGAAGGTAAACCAAGAGAAGAGAGGAAGGGGATTGAGTGGGAGAGAGAATATACAAATATACCACAATGAATCAAAAATGTGTGTGTATACACTTATATATATTTATGCACTAATTAAAATAATAATACAAGGCATACCAGCAGAGTACAGCAATGGGAGCAGGGATAGAGAGGAGGGAAAAAAAATGAGGAGGTTTCAGGGAATGAGATTGTTAAATTATGTTATATAAATGTATGATATGGTTTTTATGAGTCCCACTCTTATGTGTAATTATAATGCATCAATAAAAATGAAAAAAGAGAAAAGCTAAAGGAATTCTTCATCTTTAAACAAAGGATACTAAA